TAGCAATGCTTTTAACGATATCAAACAAAAACAGAAACGAAAGCGAAAAAATCGTCGGTCCCTACGAAGAGTAGCACATTTCACTATTCGCGTGGAAGACTAGCACATTTCACTATTCGCGTGGAAGACTAGCACATTTCAGATTTTTGCGTGGAAGAGTAGCGCATTTCAGGTTTTTGCGTGGAAGAGTAGCACATTTCAGATTTTTGCGAGGAAGAGTAGCACATTTCACTATTCGCGTGGAAGACTAGCACATTTCAGATTTTTGCGTGGAAGAGTAGTACATTTCAGGTTTTTGCGTGGAAGACTAGCACATTTCACTATTCGCGTGGAAGACGAGCACATTTCAGATTTTTGCGTGGAAGAGTAGCACATTTCAGGTTTTTGCTTGGAAGAGTAGCACATTTCAGATTTTTGCGTGGAAGAGTAGCACATTTAAGGTTTAAAATAAATCATAAACAAATTTTGTTTTTGTTGTTGGCCTTTGAATTTTAAATTATGAATCATTTTTAACAAGCTCGAGGCCTGGTGGACTGATTAGGCGTACAGAAATAATCAGTCCACCAGGCACAATCAAGAGTAAGTTGTGTTTAATGTATGTTTGTAATAATTTAAAGTTAATAATAAGTTATCGTGTTTGTATGTATATTTACAGTCCTGAAGATGACCTCAGGTTGAGGTCGAAATATCGACAATTAAAAATATCAATAGAACGAAGTTTGTGCGTTTTATTTAATTGCTGGGCCTCGAGCTTGTTAAAAATGATTCATAATAAATCATAAAGGCATAATTTATATTGGAAATTAAGTGCCTATTTTATATTTCTATAATTGTATTATAAAATTCATGAAATTCAGACGGTATAAATCGTTTAGTGTTCATTTGCTGGAGATCATCTGTTTTTGTTTTTGTTTAAGGCATTTTTCCCCTTTAAGCTTTATGCAATTCATATTGTTTTATGGTTAACCATTGAAAATTTGTTTTCAGTATGTTCAATTTCAATTAAAATAAAGTTCATTAAAAAAAAAACATGTAAACCCACGCTTAAAACTTAGTAGAAATCTAAAAAAAATCAACTAATCTTCATTCAAGTTTCAAACTTATTTACTCAGAAGTGTTAAAATTTTTTTGAGTATGAAGCTTTATAGCCGATTCAATTATAGTGTGGTAATGTGCAAGTTTCAAGAGCCTTAAAATTACCTTTGATTCTTTTTGCCGCATTTGCTCCCTTATTACGAATAAACACAATTTATTTTTATATGGAAGGAACTGGAACAACGAAAATTTTAAGCCACTTGAAACTTGCACATTATTGCAATAAAGTTGAAAGGGCTTTAAATCTATATATTCTGAGAAAATAACTTTGAAATTTGGATGAACATTTTTAGATTTTTTTTTAGTTTTCTACAAAGTTTTAAATATGGGTTTATATGGATTTTTTCAGAGAATGAACTTTATTTTAATCAAAATTCTTAAAAATATACAAATAAACATAAGTGGAAAACTATATCACTTTGAAATGAGGTGCTCTTGATATGACTGCATGTACATTAGGGTGATCCAAAAACAGTAAAGTCGGAATTGTAATGCTCTCACCCCCTAGGATTGTTCTATATAGAAAAAAATAATAGAGGTCGCTCAAAGTGCTCAAAGTTTTCGATGTATTTTTATAAGT